CCTGCTCAAGAGTATTTCTGAAGAACTCATTTGACTTGTAACGTGTCTAGGAATTGTATTAGAAGTTACAACTTTCTGGGTTCAGTTAAAGTCGATTTCTACTGTGATTAAAAGAAATGTCTTGGATTAACAAGTTTCTTTTCAATAAAATATACAGCTAGTAAGAAAATGTTTTTTCCTGTTCTGGTGGTGAGACTCTGTCCCAGGTTGCCCAGGGAGGCTGTGGCTGCCCCAACCCTGGCAGTGTTCACAGCCAGGTTGGATGAGCCTTGAGCAACCTGCTCTGGTGGGAGGTGTCCCTGCCCAGGGCAGGAATTTGGGACTAGATGATCTGTAAGGTCCATTCCAACCCCTAAATTCTATGATTCTATGGTTAAATCAATGAATCTTACCACAAAAGAGCTTTATTGTCTTGTTTTAATTGGTTTTAAAGAAGTTACTATACTTTTCTTAGCTGAACACAGCAATGCATCATTAGAGTTTGAGTATTTGTTAAAGCTCTTTGATTTATTAGTGTGCCTAATTCTTATTTTTATATTTGGTATGACATAATGATTGTGGACATCATTTTCTCCTTTTGTGCAGCTGTTGCATTTTCAGATATTTGGCTGTGCATTTTCTAAAAGTAAACACAATATTTTTTTGATTTTTCTGTAATCAAGTTCAGCAGTAAGCTTGAAGATATGCTGGGTTTTATTAGCAGCAGAAAATCACTGTTCACTTCCAATTGCCTGCAAAATTGGACAACTCTAACAAGTCAAATAGTCCTTGTCACATCACATCTACAACTTTTGTAGGAGTTCACATCAGGCATAAGCTAATTTGGACTGAAAACTGTAGAGCTTAATTTAGAGAATCAGTTTTTTATTAAAAAGGAGTTTTCAATTTACTTCTCATAGCAATAGATTTGGAGCAAAAGAACCTTTTACAGAAATTTATCTTCCTATAGACAATTAGACCATTTTATGGGGTGTACATTGCTAGTTGACAGTCTGGTCAGCTTAGAGTCTTTGACAGAATCACAGAATCAGTTAGGTTGGAAAGGACCACAATGGATCATCTGGTCCAACCTCCCTACTCCAGCAGG